TTCAGGTCTGTCTGCTTAAGCAGCTACCATTCTCAACCACACAGTCAACCCCCAAGCCAGCTTTTCCTGGTTTCAAAGGGGGGAGTTTTTTCATCACAAATTTTCCACAATTTTCTGCCTTTAACTATCATTCTTATTCTTTGTCCTCTTATGATCCCATTGTTTGGCTTCTCACAGCCAGCCTCAGTAGAACAATTAAGTATATAGCACTGATAAAAATACTAACTCAAGAAGATTGCCAAAAGTAAATGTAAAATCCAGAATCTATTTTAAAAGGCTGGCCATCCCACTGAAAACTGTAATTAAAGGATGTCTGATTCTGCTTGTGCATTTGCTGAAGGAAACATGGGTCCATATAGTGGATTGCAATGGGAAACACTTCCATCATCTAGTCTGTGTAACAAAGTATAGCTCCTCAGGGAGGAACGTTTCCCCTGTGAGATCCACAGCACCTTCCTTCTAAATGCTGCTAAGTGTGAAATTAGTGTTGTCCTGTAAAGTGCATAGGATTAATTGTTAGTAATTGAACGCAGTTTGGGGGCTAATTACATAAAAATTGATATTAAAAGAATACTACCAAATTGATTGAGTTTTACAGTTCCCATTTAGCTTCTAAATTGCATGAGTTGAAAGTCAGTGGAAAGAAACAAAAATCCATCCAAAGCTGCTGCAGGAAATTAAGGGTTACTATTTCTTTGAAAGACAAATTAGTCAAATGCTGTCATGTCGGCGAAGCAGTAAAATGATTTTGAGATTAACTATAGAATTAGAAATGAAATATTCTGATTGACCATGTTTTGTGGCATTGGCTGGCTTTCTGTGTGCACTGATTAGTTAAGTTACAGCAAACAAGCTCGGTGGAGACTCAAGGCCGGGAGACATGCTCACCAGTAGAGGCTGCTGCTGCTGGGGACCTTAAATTCAAGATAAATGCTGCGAAATCCCGTGCATACTTATATGTGAAGAGTACGATGCATGGGATGCATGTAAACCAGGGGTTTAAAACACGACCTGCCTTTGGCTTTTAAAAGGTCCTTGAGAAAGCACTGCAGACAGGCATGCATGAGTTCTTCCGCTTTAGAACTTCCCGGAGCCGATCAGATCTGAGGAGAAAGACTTTTTCGGAACCCTCACTTTCATACAAACTATTTCAGTGTGTGACATTGGCCCAGACAAGCAAGGACAAGGTCACTGCCCCTCTGATTTCTCCTTTGGTATTGCCGAAGCTGTTCTCTTGACTGTTTACAATACGTACTGGCTCTCGTGCCTGCTACTTACTCTTTTGACCCATTCTCGGTGTCTGCCTTTTGTCTTTAACTACCAGGCACTAGATCCCGTTTTTTCTCTACAGCCTTGGCATCTACCAGGGCCTTTGGCACTTCCAGTGTCTCCCCATCAAATAATCTCCGTCATCTCACAATTTCTCTCTTCCTGAGAATCCTGTAGAACAGCTCCACAGCTGCTTCGGGCCAACCCCAGGCCAATCCTCACATGGGAATTGATATTAAGTGCCAAGTAACAGAGTTAAAATGGCAAAATTGTTAAAGGGGAGAAAATTAAGGAACCAAAACGATATCGACAGAACCACACCTGTGCTAAGATACTTAACATGCTCTTTATCCATATGCACCAAGATAGGATTTAGCTAAAGCAACTACAGTATCAGAGAATCAAAGCACAATTAGTGGCTCAGAATTCCAAAGTATTGAGAAATCATAGCATCTCCAAAGACTAATTTTCCCCCATACCCCTGGAAGTAATATGCTACTGAAAGTATTTTTGAAATTCTGGGCCAAATGATAGCAGCATCAGCTTGTACAACTATAAACATATAATTCAAAATTAATTAAAACATTAAAGTTTGGACATAAAATTAAACAAATAAATAAATCACAAAGACATTTCCAAGATAAAATCTATATTGTTTAACAGATTAACATTTTAAAAGGTTTCACAATCCAGTGGGGACAAAGCAACAATTATTAGTTTTTATTTAACTTTACTGTTTAGCAAGCAATGTATCTGATCTATTTTATCACTCATTTTTGCGCTATATATCAGAGTTTTTAAATTTACCTTCCATAAACAAAATATATCCTCAAATACAGGAACAGGAATGTAAGAAATCAGGTAAAAACTTTCTTATTTTCATAAGTTTAATTTTTAAAGTTCTTGTTTAGAGAAAAGATTTTTCCCAAAAGAATTTTCTTTTGGGAATTTTCCATATACCAAAATATATTTAATAGGCAATATATTTATCATTGAAAAACCCTAAACAATGAATGCATAATACACAACAGCAAATACCTAAAATAGTTAAGATCTTTTCAAAAGTGGAACAGAACATAAATATAGAAAAGACTGAGAGATAACTACATAAAATTTAGAACTTTTTTATCAAAATAAGTCAAAGCAAAAGGCAGTGTCTATAACACTTGCAGACTTTAATGTATAATTCCTTCATTTTAGAAAACTTTTATATAAATGAATTAAAAACACAAAGTTCTCACTTTGTGTTTAGGGGAGGCAAATTATTTACAAAAGGTAAAGTAGATGGAAGATGGTCAAAGCATTAAGCAAAGAAATGATTAGGACCTAAGATGCAAAGTGGTTTGTCTGGTTCACTTGATGGGCTTCTCAGACAATCTGGATTCTCAGTCATCAGGGTGGAGAGCAGGAACTGGGGAGGACGGCTTTACAGACAGCAGACACATGAAATTCAGGCACTTCCAGCCCTTCAGTTCCCTCAGAAGCCATGCCTGTGTTTTCCAAGTTAAAAACAAAATCAGTTTTCACTTCCAAAAAAAGGAGAAAAGCCTCTTGTCTGGGGAGAATCCTGAAGTGGGAGAAACTGGCATTGTTGCCTTTGGGCCTCCCTGTGTGATGGTGAGATGGTCACTTCCTAGCCTACTTAGCATAAAGCAAAGGGCAAAGATATTATCACTTTCTTCTACTTACATAAAAATATTACTTGACGTTGAATGAACCATATGATATGAAAGAAAATGATCCAGGAGTACAAGCAATAAATGACCTTCAAAGAAGAGCTGAACTCATGCTGAAGAAAATAAAGGAAGATGAAATAAATGGTCTCTAATAATCCCTCATGAATATTCATAAAGCAGTGTAACCATAAAGTATAAAGAGGAATGCCAGCTAAGAAGAGGAATGCCAGCTGGGGCATGAGAACAACTCAAGTAATTTAAATATGATCACTATGTTACTACTAGGGTCAGCAAGATGGATAGAGGCATTTGCCACACAAACCTGAATATTTGAGTTCGATCCCCAGAACATGTGTAAATATGGAAGGAGAAAACTGACTCAGCAAAGTTGTCCTGTGACATCCACATGTACACTGTGGTACATAAATGTCCTACACATATATGTCATATGCATATATATACACATGTGCATACATAATAATAATAATAATAATAATTAATAACATTTACAATGAAAGAACTTGTGATAACAAGTATTTGGGTAAAAGAGTTAAACCATGGATATGCAATTAGGCAGGACAACAGAAAATTACCTGACTTTGTCGTTGTTAAATTAACAAAATAAAAGGTAGATCTCAATAAAAATATTCATCCTGGGGAGAATACATTGTAATGCGCTTGTGGTATTACACACGTGCACAAATCCTTGGAAATGATTCACCTATAGGTGCATACATAAAAATGTTGGCCTAGTGCAGGACAGTTTTCTGTTGGCCTTGGACTAGCATAGTCTTCCTTTCTTTCTTGTTATTCTCAAGAATAATTGGAGAATGTGCTATAAACGTAATATTTTAAGGTTATAACACCTAACAGAAACTGGATGCACTTCAGTGCTTTTTCCAGCATGTATACTGTTCATAAGTGGTCTACACCCCAGGGCCCCTCCATCCTGGTATGGTTGGACCACACTCCAGGGTCCCTCCATTGTGGCAAAGTGTGGCACCCACAGATGCTTCCTTTTTTTACTCATTTAATCCAGTAGCCAGAAAATAGTGTTACTTCTTCATACCTAGCAATTCTATTCTATTGCCATCAAAGTGGAAAATACAATGAAATGAATACCAAATGCAGAAACAATGAGGTACCCAAATATGTTATTGCAATAGTATTTTGAAGGGAGTGATACTGTTTCAACACCTGTTTGGGTGAGAACCTAGTCTTCAATGTCTACTTCAAAAACATCCACTAAGGAGCACAAATAGGCATGAAAACTCAGCACTGGCAAATTCTACTCTCAAAAGTGAATTGCTTTGACTTTTCTTATAGTGTCAAAAGACCCCAGAAGACAAGAAGCAAAGCATGACAACTGGACTTTGCTATCTGGAGGCAACTAAGACCTCCAGAAGGGGCTATAAGAAGCCTGAGTACTAGAGAGCTACAGAGGAAGCAAGAATTGTGCCCTCTGATCAAATTAATTCAGTGTAAGGGAGCATGGTAGAAGCTGAAAAGGGAATGGATGAGTGGGTAGGGGCAGCAATGGTGCTTGTTTAAGACTTGGAGATGGCCAAACATGAGGAGAGGGAGTGGTGGTGGGAACGAGAATGAGTGTCCCCTGTCTCATATATTTGAATGTGTAGTAACCAGGGAGTGGCATTGTTTGAAGGGTTTAGAGGGTATGGCCTTGTTGGAGGAAGTGTGTCACTGGGGGTGGGTTTTGAGGTTTCAAAGACTTATGCCAGGCCAGTCTCTTTGTCTCTCTGTCTCTCTCTGTCTCTGTCTCTCTCTGTCTCTGTCTGTCTCTCTCTGTCTCTCTTTCTGTCTCTCTCTGTCTCTGTCTCCCTCCCTCCCTCTCTGTGTCTCTGTCTCTCTCTCTTTCTCTCTCTGTCTCCCTCCCTCTCTGGTCTTCCTTTTTGAAGGCTCCTATTCATGACACTTGTATTGAAAAGAAGTACATACTTTCCTCTTCTTTGTCTTATTATAAGGTATGACTTTTATAAAAAGTGAAAAAAGGTATTCATTTTTCTTCCATACTTCTTTGTGATTTTTTTTCTTCAGGTGAGAGCTCCAATAAAGTCCTCTGCTACCACATATTATGCAACCCTGTTTCCCACATTTGGGGAAATTGCAGGGGTCAGCACATCTGGAGTGCAATGGATAAGCCTCACCCTAGGAAAAGTATCTTCTTGATCATGGTATCTCCTCTGCCAGGTAAGTATTACTTCCTTGTAACTTAAGAAGAAGCAAAGATGAATGGCAGGTGTACATGAAGTGATGGGGGTGAGGTAGATAGGGAATAAAGCTAAGGTCTCTGAAGTAGGAGGCAAACTTATTTAGTAATGAAGTCAAGGAAGACAAAGGATGTTGAAGAATTATAGAATTCAGATGGGAATGGCAGACACTAGGGTGCAATTAATATGGCATTGAGGCCCCAACAAGCCATGTTATAAATTCTGATGATATTATCTGATGGATGATCATGGGGATTTTTTCCTAGCTATTCTAGGTATCCTAAGTACAGAAGAGAAAATGGTCTGTCACATTGGCAATGCAAGGAGAGATGTTAATGAGTAGAAGAGTTGTGGGCTGGAGATCTTTGGGAGGACATTGTTCAAGCTATAAATCATGTAGTTGAGGTCATGAAAACAATTTGTCTAAAGAAGTGGGGTTATTAGATTAGAGAAATATGGATGGGTCAAGGATTGTTGTCCTTCGCTTCGGTCAAATCAAAGCGCACTTTTCTGTTGCTGTGATTAAACAACACAACCGAAAGAAACTTATGGAAGAAAGAGTTTATTTTAGTCTACAATTCCAGAGGAATAAGGATCCATCATGGTGGGAGGGAGACATGCCAACAGGAGCAGGATGCTGAGAGATAACATCTTCAGCAGCAAACATGAAGCAAAGAGAGTAAACTGCAAGTCTGTGGTGTATGAAGTCTCAAAGTCTGCCCCAGTGGCATACTTCCTTCAAAAGATGTCTCATCTCCCCAAACACACCACCAAGCAGGGACAAACAAAGTGTCCATATATCTGAGCCTGTGGGGACACTTTATTCAACCAGCCAAACAACAGTTTTGGTAAAATGGATGCTTTACCTGAATGAATATGTACTAGTATTACTATAAAAGTAATCTCTAGGATTTTCATTGCTGTTGTTTGTTTGTTTTAATGGTTACTAGGATAATTGATCTCAATATAACCTAGACTCACCTGGGAGGGAGGCTTCTGGGTATGGCAATAGGCAATTGTCTTGATTATGCCAAGTGAAGTGGGAAGACCCACCCAATGCAGTTGGCACCACTCTGTGGGGCAGATTCTATAAAAGAAGAATGTGAGCTGAGCACAGGCCTTACTCGCCACTTCCTGCTGTGGTTGCAATGTGGCCAGCTTCCTCCGGTTCCTGCTGCTGTGAATTCCCACCTGACAGGCTGTAACCCTGAACAGTGAGATAAAATAACCTTTCTTCTTTAAATTGCTTTTGCCAGGGTATTTTATCTCAGCAACATATTAAATATTTAAGACAGTTACTGTTAATTATAAATGTGGAAGAACTTATTTTAATACTTATCAAGAGATTAAAAGACAACTTTCACAAAATGAAAACTTCAATTTTGATCTATAAAAAAATCGTTTGATATGTCTGAAATATGCTGTGCATTACTACCTGGAACCCAATGATTTAAAAAAAAGGATATCCAGAAAATATATTTTTATATTCATGCATGTCACAAGGAATTGGGTTGGCTTCGAGACCAAGTGTATATATGAGAAAATGATTAATCAAAGAGTATATTCAAACATCAAAAAATGAACACTTCAGCATCATTATTCTGGAAAAGAAGAGTTGAACTGATTGTAAGAATTCTTCACACAGGCAGAATACAAAGTGCCAGGCAAGAAATGGCAACAAATAGTGGGTGTTCATGTATGGGGAGAGATTAATTAAAGCATGAAACCAAATGTCAAAGTACTGTAACTTAACTAGAATGTAACTGAACCAAAAGATCACGATATCGAAGAAAACAAAAGCAAAATAGGAAAAGGGGTTCCAGGAGGGCAACACACTTGTCTGGCACTTTGCACACAAGCACTGGTGTTTGCTATTTCAAATCTTACAATGCCCTCTCCATGACTGCACCATTAATAAGGTCTTCAAGACTGTTTCCCTGAACACTTTCCTCGTTTGGTTTTTCATGATTTAATTAGAAACATCTTTTCAAAGGCTGTTTTTTCTTTTACTGTGGTAGTAGCACAGCTGCCTCTTCAGCACTCTGCTGTTTAATGACAAGGGCAATAAAGCGGAATCCCCAGTCCATATTGCACTATCGAGTAGAACCCACACATTTCCTACTTTAGTGTCCCTGAGTCATCATCTTATGTTTGTTCATCAACATTTTAAGTGTCCCTCTTTAAAAAAATGTAATTTGATAGTTAATTTTCTAAACTTATTATTCTTTTATCTCTTTACAAAGTCATAACATTTCATATCTGTTGGACATGCAGCATCCTATACCCAACTCCTCGTTTTTAACAAGAAAAGTTTTCATTCTCTTTTTTTACATTACAATATTATTCTTGCCATATCTCCTCAGAAGAATTTAGTTAACCTAAACTAAATCCTTCTAAAGATTCATGAGCACCAGTAAAGATGAATTAGTTCCTTGGTGCCACATACTTCTATAGTTTTAAAACATACATAAACACTATAGTGGTTGTATTGAAATTTATAGCATGAAATTAAGGTCTAAGAGAAAATTTAAATATACATCTGGAAACATAAACACATGGAACACTGCTTTCTTATAAATCCATTTTCTAATAAAGAAGGATTCTTCATTTGTTTATTATTTATTTGAGTATTTATTTTAATATTCAAATAATTTCTTAGATGAAATGCTGATTGATATTTGTCAGATCCTCACTCACTTGAACAAAATCAAATGGGTACCAATAGCTGATGAAGATCAAGGGCTAAATGTGGGATGGGATGGGGGTTCAAGGGAGGCACAGGGGGATGGGAAGGAGAAGGAACTGAGACTGATATGTGGAGGACTGACATGTAAAATAAGATTGTTTCTAATTTAAATAAAGTCTAAAAGAAATAGTGTGTTTGCTTTGCAAAAAAAGAGAGAAAGGAAGGAAGGAAGGAAAGAAGGGAGGGAAAGAGAGAGGGGGGAGGGAGAGAGAAGAGCAAGGGCTATTTCCAGGCCAGGCTTTCTCCTTTCAAGGGGAGCTGTTCTATATAACTCAGAGCACCAGCTCAGGGGCCCAGCTGTGCTGGTTCCTGTCTTCATCTGTCCTGCCTTGCCAGATACATGATTTGGGGGAAATTATTGGACTTTTTCCTATTCTTCATAGAATAGTAGTAGTTTTCCACTTGGATGAATTTTTAACACATTTAAAATATTTAGGACAATGACTTCCATGTATTAGGAGTTGGATCATTATTGACTGTCGCACCTGCTGTGCGGCCTGCATCCGAGAATGTGGCGAGGTGGTCGGGATAGATGACACAGAGACCGGTCGGTTGCTTTAAGAAAAACTTTATGCTTCCCAAGTCAGCTTAGGAGAGAGAAGTCTCAGGAGAAGACTCTCCAAGAAAAAAATGCTTCCCCTTTTTAAGGACTTCAGCCATCCATCTACATACAATTCTTTCCAGACTTCTCACCCTCCTGGCTGGTGGTTTAATCTCTGGCCCCAGAATCAGGGAGACACAGCAGGGGGGACAGGAAGAAGCATCTAGCCGTAGGGGGTGTCAAAGTCATGTTATTTCAGTGAGCAAGCCCTTATCTGAGCCCTATCAAGAGCTTTATAGCACTGAATTGTTTTCAGTAAACATTATCTCACAACTGTCTGCTCCCAGGCCGAAGGGGAAGTGGGTTTCTGCTCAAGGTCTGGTGTCCCCACAATTGACAGGTATGATTGTTTCACTGTTTGGTTTTGTTGGCAAGAAAATTCCATTTTTTATGCTAGTCAACTTCCCATCTTTATGACAAAATACCTGAGAAAAAGTAAGTGAGAATAAGAGAAAGAGCTATGCCATCTCACAGTTTCAGAGGAGTCAGTCTATGGTCAGTCAGTCCCATTGAGACCAGAAGCCTGGTGGAAAGCAAAGGTGCTCACCTCAATGTGGTTGGACAGCAGAAAGTTGAGAAGAGGCTGGGGAATAGATATGCTCTCCTTGAGTAAACACCTTAGTGACTAGGGCCTCTTCAAATGTTCCCACAGTCTCTTAATGGTATGACCAAGGAGCAGTAGTCTTTACCATGCAAGCCCGCAGCGACTCCCAAACACCTCTCCTTGCTTTTCTTTTCCTTTAAGTGCATGAGGAATTCTTCTCTAGATTTATTAACTAATTTATTATTTTACTCAATAGGGATTGCTTGAGTACTTGCTGTATTCCAGACACAGAACTAGACTGGAGAGCCTTAAGAGGAAACTGGAGCCACATGACCCTGTGGTATCTGGAGTCTAAATTACCCAACTAAACAAGCAGAATAGTGAGGAAGGATCCCAGAGAGCCAGAGGGTGAGGACTGGCACCTGGTAGGAAGTCCAGCAGATGGCAATCACATCATCTTAGTGAAGAACAGTCTGCCTGCACCCCTACCTTTTAGTTAGGCCTCTGAAGATTTGCTAAGTGGGTTTATTGGACCCCAAGAAAAGGAGGAGCTTCAAGAAGCTGTGTACTTAGAGCACTTCAGCTGATTTTGATGCTAAACCCCAGAGTACACAGCTTAGACAAAATGGTCAAGAATGAATGATGATACTGGCATGAAGTCTCAGTGCAGCTCCAGTAATCCAAATTGTAAGCAAATTGGTACCCATTCAAATAATGCATCATAAAAGAAGACCTTCTCAGTGATGTGTTTCTACGAGAGATTCATCCCTGAAAGGGCAATTTAGTCTGTCACCTCAAATGCACTGTAAATTCTACTCTGGAGCAAACCAAGGACCCGATATTTGAACACTTGCCAGCAAGGGAATTTTTGTAGTATTCCTTGTTCACATTGCCTAAGGATTCCAGTGTCTTGGGGGCAGTAGGGAATGGTCCTTTTCTGCTGCTGTATTTAATTTTCTGCATTATTTTAAATCTCAAAGCTCCTTGTAATTCCCTTTTTTGATGTCTTATTTCACTTTTGGCTCCCCAGCCCCCTGATTTTGCCGTTCTATGTGAAAATACCTGGAGTTCATTCTTATGACAATAACGCGGCTGTG